ACAGCCAGAGGAGGGGCCGGCGGGGGAGGTATGGTCAGCAGAGGGAGAGGCTGGGGAAAGGGAGGCAGAGCATGGGGTGAACTGGGAGGAGACGGCATGCTGGGCAGTGGGCGCAGGGCGCGCAAAGGGATGGGGGCAGGAAAGGTCTCTTCCCTTGCTCAGCCTCTCAGGGTAAAAGGAGGAGCCCGTAGCTGTGTGAACTCCCCAAGGGGGTTACATGGACAAGGCTAGGCAGCCAGGCTGCTTCTCCCGCCCAAACCCTTGCCCAAAACCTTGCCCCTGCCACTTCAGCCCCCATGCTTCTTGGAACTCAAAAACCTGACTGAAAAGGGGTCAGCCTGGCATCGTGGCCACAGGGATGCCAGCCTCCACTGCGGACACAAGGCCACCTCCAAATGGACTGTTTCACAAGGTGTTCCATTACTACAACTGGCGAAGAATACGGGCTGAACAGACTATGCCTGCCACCTGCACCCTGAGGGTCTCTCCCAACAACTGATCAAGACCAGCACGTCGTTGCAACTATCCCATTTTAGTAAGTCAGAGACTAACTAGCAGGTCATCAGCTACATATAGCTATGTATGTGACAGTAAGAGGTAGGTCTCACTTCATTGAGCCCAGAGCAGTGTGGGGAGGACAGGGAATGCCTCCCAAGCACAATCCATTCGTAGTACCTGGAGGACGTGTCTGTTCTAGAAAACCACAGGAGGGAGCTACTGTTCCCTTCAGTGAGAGAAAAACTGAGGCATGGGGATCATTGCAAGCCCAAAGTCACACAGATACATTGGAGCCCCTGAAATGCCAGGAGTCACCCATCTCACATGCCCACCAGCTTCCATCTGAGCAAGGAAATGGTCCAAGGATGTTTCTGGACATCTGTAGGAACCTGTGAAGCTAAGGAGTTGATCCCTGGCCCTCCCGACCTCAGAGATGTGACAGGAGACGGACATCCACCTAAAACCACTGTGAGCCCCAAAAGGGCAGGCACACAGCTCTAAAAGCCGGGGGTGGGGAATTCAGCGGCAGGCTGACAACACCCACAGGAGCTTGCTGAGTGGTCCCCTCAGGTCCCAACACAGCCCCCAGCCCACTTCCACCTCCTTGTGGCCACGCTCGGCACCGTTCTTGGGAGAAAGGGCAAGTCCTCAGTGTGGTTTTGCCCCACTACTCTCACGTCCCTGTGCTTGGCCCAGGAATCCTGGCTGAGCGCCCATTCCACAGGGAGGCCTCCTCAAGCAGTTAGGCCTGGTCTGTCCACTGTGCACACCTTCAAAGGTCACCTGAATGTCCTGTCCCGTGGGACTGCAGTCCGAGTTATTGACCAGGGTCTCCCCAATAGACTGCAGCTTCCCAGAGGAAGGGAGCCATTATTCCCCCAGCACCCCAGCCCCCAGCACCAAACACTGTGGGGTCATGGGAACCAGCGCAGAGAGGCAGGGAGGCCCCGGCAGCTGCAGACTCCACCCCTGTGTCTGCTCCTAGCTCTTCTCAGGTCGGTGAAGGAGCCGCCCCGTGCCCCTCAGCCCACTGTCCATCAGTGTGACCAGACTCAGCACGTGTCTAGGGCTCCTTCCACAGTGCAGCCCCTACAGGGCACATTGTGGAGGGGCAGAGGAAAGCCCCTGGGCCCACTGGAGCATCTCAGAGGTGGAGTGGGTGGGAGCCCCTGGCCCGATGCCCAGGACCATTCTCCCTCTCTTTTGACCAGGCCCATTTCCTGCTCACCCTCATTTCAGCTGCTCTGACAGGGGCAATTCTGGAAGCTTTTTCAAGTTAAAGTTGACTGCCCTTGAGGGAGGATGAGCCAGGAGGTGAAGGGAAATGGACCAGGGGACCACCCAACTCTATGAGAAAAACAGGGGGCGGGGAGCAGGTTCCAGGGTAATGGATGTCCCCTGCCATTGTTCCCTAAACACTAAACATGGGCCTGGGGGCAATGTGGGGCTGGAAGGAGCAGTGAGGCTGCAGCAGGACTAAAGCCAGAGACGGGAGCACAGGAGCTGGGGGTTGTGCCCAGGACAGCAGCAACACTGACCTCAGAAGCATGTCCAGCCAAGGACGAGGAGACTACCTGCCAGTTGCCAGTCCTGGGCGCGGCAGGGGGCAGGAAAGCACACTCCCTGCCTTCACATAGCCTGACCCCTGTGCTAGGAGGACCACCCCACCTGTCACCCTCCCTGGCCCAGCTCTAACCCTAGTCCTGTCCCTCTAGGCATTGGCTCTGCCAAGGCAGGTGGATGCACAGCAGATGGGCACTCCATGGTGACAGGACCAGGCTGAGGGTCATGAGGATAAGGGGGCCAGTGGGAGGGGAAGTAAAGGAGGGGTTCGTGGGGGAGGAGGGGCCAGCCACAGGAGGTGGGGCCCAGCCAAGGGAGGGACCAGCAGTGGGAGAGGGGGATGGTGGGAGAGGAGGGTTCCAGCTGGGGAGGAAGGCCTGGCCAGAGGAGGAGCCATCGGGGAAGGTATGGCCAGCAGAGTAAGAAGCTAGGGAAAGGGAGGCAGGGCATGGGGTGAACTGGGAGGAGATAGTGGTTAGGCAGTGGGTACAGGGTGTGCAAAGGCATGGGGGCACAGCCTGAGTGCTGGCAGATTGGTGTCACCAGAGTACACCTAGGCCATGAGCTTTGCTATCAACAACCAGGTCACCCAGGGCCCTGTGCCCTTCGATTCTGCGCCCTGCGGTTAGGTTGTTTCACCTCCAAGCAAGCAAGCCATGGTTCTGCACCAGAGCTCAGGCAGAACTAGAGCCGCACAGGCAAATTTCAGCTGACTCCCATTTCTCCATGATAATCGTGATTTCTGTTATCCTGCCTACAGCTAAGAACTCAGTAGAAACCGAAATGTATTTCATTTACATTGATAAGCAACCAAATTGAAAGCATATAATTTGCACACTGCAATGGATCACTACTACTTCAGAAAAAATTTAAGTAAAAATATAATATCCTGATTCACACTGGTCAAAAAGTGGGTGTTTCAAGGCTGTGTAAAGTAGCAAAGGGAAGAAGCTCAGAGCTGGCAGAGACCGGGTCTTCCTCTTGCGCACATGTGCTGCACCCTGGTTCTCCCCCTGCACTGCAGGGCACAGGCTAGGAGGGGGAGCCCTGTGGGAAGGACTGGGGCCCTACCCAGGCCCTCCTTTCCCAAGATTCCAAGCTGCTCCCTCTGAGGCTCTGAGTCTGTGGGTGGCATCACAAGGGGCCAAGCCCAGACATCCAGTGTCTCCCTTTCTCCCCCTTCCTCATCCTATATGTTCCTTGGCACGCACCCCTACTCCACCCCTATGATCTCCAGCCCACCCTGGCAGGCCTTGCCCCCTACTGACTGAGCAGCTATGGATGTCTTGAACAGGATGCTTTCAGTTCTGACAGGTGCTTAGCTAAATAAAAATGAATTGTATTTCATTTAGGTACAATCAGTGACCCAAAAGCAAGGGGCTGGGAGAGGAAAGGAACTCATTTCCGGCCACTTAGCACATATTTATGGGTACTTCCTTAGTGCTGGCCCAGGTAGGAACAAGGCTGTTTCCCCTGCAGACCTTTCTGCTCAGGGTCATCAGCATCAAGCACGCCTCCCGGGCAAGAGCTAAGCCCTAGCTATTCAATTCCACCTGTGCTAATAATCACGCACCCTAGCTTTCAGAGTTCTCTCCTCTGCCTCTGGCCAAGAGTCCTTGGCCAGCTTGGGCTTTACAGAGGAGGAACCAGATGCCCCAAAGCACCCCGGCTGCATTCCCAGAGCCCTGTGCACCAGAAATGGAACATGAATGCTGTAGGGAACCCCAAGAGCCTTGCTTCGGAGGGGCAAAGGCTCGGAAAAGACAACACAGGAACTTGCTCCATAGCTCAGAGCACGGACTTGAACCCATGCCTCAGAATGCACAGGATTTTTCCAGGCCTCCTCGGGGCTATCCTTGATGAGAAAGCATTTGGGTCTCAGAGAAACGGGTGGGATTCGAGGAAAGGAGCTGCTTTGCCCCATGGAGTTAACCTGACTCTGGAGCTCACTGGGCTGACTAGTCACTGGACTAAGCACCAGGAGTTCACCGTGGAGATCTTAGACTCTGAAGCGGCATCCTGCTATGTATGCAGCGAGGGAAATCCCCTGCAAAGATTCCTTCGTTCATTCAGTCCATTGTTCATCCTCTTTGGGTCATCCACTCCGTGCCCAGCACAGCTACTACCTCCCCAAAATTCAGTACAGAGGACAAGGTGCTGTCAACAAGTGACTGCACTGCAGAGTGGCACAGGTCTGAATAGGAGGCAGGTGGTAAAGCAGTGAAGAGCAGCAGAAATGCCAACACTGTGTAAATGTGTGTGCCATCTTCTTCACCCTCTCAAGCACCAAGTTGCACAGCTCATTAAGGACAGATTTCACAGGCTCCTGGAATTCTCTAATTGAAAGACAGAATCCCTGGGGGATCATATGCCCCACTCCCCCCACTGTATGTTTCCCTGTGTTGATCCCTATGTGTTTGTCAATATCACTATCACCTGTATAGACACGTGGACTGGAATAGAACATTCTAAAGAGGCCAAGATGTGCTTTTCCAATATGAAGTTTTTGTCTTCATTACAACCCTGTGCGGTGGGGGGGCAGAGGTGTTCTGCCCTTTACATAGGTGAGAACCCTGAGGCTCAGTGAGGGAAGGGTTTAGATCGCCCAGAGAGTCACAGCTAGCAGGGAAACCCAGATGTCTGCTCCCTAAGAATCCTTGCTCCTAGGATGGGCTTCCTTCCCCACTACAGTAACAGTCACAGGGCTCATCTTACCCCAGGGGGAGGGGCAGAGCTCTGTGTCCGGAAACTCCTTGACAGACTCTCCCCTCTCTCTCATTTTTAGTCTTTAATTCTCTAAAAGAAATGACTAAAGGCTACATGGGAAATGTCTTTATTTTAAAAGGGAAAGACAATAACCCAGCCTTTTATTACACCAGCTGACTCCCTGGTGTAATAAACACAGAGAGAATGCAGTGTGGTTGGGATCCCTGGGCCTGCCCAGGGACCAAGCTCAGCCCCTCCCTATTCCCGAGCTGCCCTAGCATCTGGTCAGATTGGGGAGGCCATCTTGCGGGTGCGGGTCTGGCTGTGGGGGCCAGCATGAGGCCCAGGCTAAACACAGACAGATGGGGGTGGGGGTAGGAGATACAGGAATGCTCCCTGAGAATGGTCTGGCAAGGCCACGTGCTGCCCACAGGAGGCTATGGAAGAGGTTGTGGAAGAACCCAGCCTCCCTCTCCTCCCTGGCATGCAGTCCTCTGCCTCTTTTCCCCTTTCCTCTGCCTTTAGCTGTGCCTTTTTGCCTCTGCCCTTCACCTCTACCTCTCTTCCTCTCTTCCTCTGACACCCTCTTTGACAATTCTCCATGTACTCCCTCCTTACCTCCTGCCCCTACCCATGGGTTGAGCACATGCTGGTCTCTCTCTAACCCTAAGACACAAGTCCAGTGATGTGTCTATCCCTGTGCCAGGCTGAGCATCTCATGGCTCCTCTGACTGTGTGCTGCCCCTGGCATCACCGCCTGAGGACGCCTCCTTAGGTCCTTGGTTGCTGGTCCCCTGGGGCCAGGCTGAGGGAATCATCACCACCGCCCCCCAGTTATTCTTCCCTAATCTCCCTGGATTCAGCTTCTCCTCGGACCCCTTGCCTCTCTCCAATTTGCTCCCATCACTGCTTCCTTTCCTGAGATGGGCTTCTCCACTCCATTTGATTCATACCATCCCCCTGCTAAACTGCAGCTAGAGGCAGAAACAAAACCCTCCTCAGGGTCTTCCAAATCTTCCCACCCCCCACTCCCCAGCCCCATCCCCGCCGCCAGTTGGAGATGGGCACAAGGGGAAGCTCTCAAAGCCCCGCCGTGGGGCAAAGACCCCTGGACCACTTCCACTTCCGGGCAGTTGGAAGAGCAAGCTCCTCCAGGGCCCAGGAAGAGCCCGCAGGAGGCAGACGGCGTCCTAGTCCTAGACGGCAACCATCTCGCCGGCCCGACTGGGAAGACAGTAACAAAGTTCGGGAGCAGAGAAGGCAGGTTCGGGAGCAGAGAAGGCAGGTTCGGGGCAACGGCCGAGTGGCAGCGACAAGGATTAGGCTGTGTTTGACCTTGGCAAACCCCACTCCTTCCAGGCCGGAGGCAGATCCACAATAGGGTGCCCAGCAAGGCTGAAAGGGCCGAAGTCCTTTCCCACCACCTATATACACCCCTGGGTCCGCAGGGCTGGGAGGCGAGCCCCGCACGCGCTCTAAGTGCACAGGAGAAGAGCCCCGCGCTTCGCGCAGAGCCGACCTTTGAGCCCACCCTGAGGGCCCCATCCCCTCGCCCACTTTCATTCCCTCCGCGGGGATGGGTGCCGCAAAAGAGCGGCGGACCCCTCTGGCCGCCCTCTGGCAGCTCACCAGCTACCTGACCTTGGCCAAATCTTTCTCTCTCCACACCTGTCTCCCCTCTCCACACTTCACGCCCAGGGGCGCTTTATGGATTGTAACTCTGAAGAGAGCCTTGGCCGGATGGTGCCAGCCCCGACTGCATCCCCAACTCGCTGGAGTGACCTTGAACACACCCCCAGTAGGAGCCTCAGTGTCCCCACCCGCCGCCTAGGAAAAAGCGCGCATCGTCCCAGCAAGTGTGTCCGACCCGATGCGGGGCGCGCGGCGGCACTTACCGTCCTCCAGAGACGTGGGCGCTTGGCGGGGACCAAGGTGGCTGTGACCAGCAAGTGCGACGCAGCCACCACGAGCCCAAAGCCGATGGCCAGCAGGCTGCGCACGGGCAGCAAGGCATAGGACACGAAGGTGACCAAAAGGAGCTGCCAAATCCCTTGTTCGGCGGCCGCTGGTCCCCCGGCCGCCCCGGCGGAACCCCGGGCGGGGCCGCCCAGCGCGAAAGGACAGCAGAGCAGCGCGAAGGTGAGGCTGAAGAGCAGCGCCAGCTGGCCGACCTGCTGCAGCTGGGGCACCTGCAGGGACCGGACGTTGGTGACCACGAGCAGCGCCAGGAAGAGGACGCAGTGCACCGGGTGCGAGCCCTTGGCCAGGCCAGGCGCGGGCCCCGGCGCGCCCAGCAGCTCCGCCAGCGCCAGCGCGCCCGCCAGCAGGCTGAGAACCGCCAGCGCCTTCAGCGTGGCCGCCTGCTCCAGCCGCAGCGTGTAGCCGCGGAACAGCGCCTCCAGCTCTGGGCAAGCGAACTCCTCGTCGCACGCCCGGAGCCCGCGCCGGCGGCTTGGCCCGGCCGCCCGCTCGGCGCCCCCGGGCTCGCCCGCACCGCCTCCGCCGCCGCCTCCGCCGCGCGGCGCCCCCGCCATCTCAGCGCCATG